TCAGTGTTATTATCGCTATTCACTGACTGACCCCTGTCATTTTATTACCTTTTTTTTTCCTAGTTGTTTTGTATTAGCTTCTATTTAGTTTTCCTAGTATAGTATTCCCTTAGGTATTTCTTGAAGAGCTGGTCTAGTTTTGGTTAATTCCTTCAGCTTTTGTTTATCTGGGGGTGATTTTACTTCTCCTTCCCATTTAAAAGATAATCCTACCGGTCATAGTATTCTTTGCTGAAACCGTTTTTCTTTCAGAGTTTTAAATATGTCTTCCCATTCTTTCCTTGCCTGCATTGTTTTGGTTGAGAAATCTGGTGTGAGCCTAATGGGGTAATATTTGTATATAACTTGGAGTTTCTCTCTTACAGTTTAGAATATTGTCTTTGTCTTTTGTTTCTAGCAGTTTGGCTGTGATGTGTTTTGGAAAGGATCATCTTAAGTTAAATCTATTTGGTGTTCTTTGTATTTCCAGGATTTGGATGTCCATGTGCCTCTCTAAATTTGGAAAGTTTTCATTTTACATATCATGAAAGAGATTTTCTATGTCTTAATATATCTCTTTGCCTTCTGGAATACCCGCTATGTGGATATTCAGCCATTTGATAGTGTCCAGGGTTTCTTGTGTGTTGTCCTCATTTTTATTAAGGATTTATTTATTTTACTTTATTTATTATTATTATTTAATTTAACCAGAGAGAGAGGGAAAGTGAGAAAACAAGCTTCCAGGTCTGGGACATGAACCATGGTCAGCTATATGGGAGTGCAGCACCTTAACCACTACGTCACCTGTTGGCCCATTTTTAATGGCTATTTTTCTATTCTGTTCAGTTGCTTTGACTAACTCAGAGGTTTTGTCTCCAAAGTCAGAAATTCTGTGTAATCTAATCTGCCATTAATAGTTTGAGGGAATTTTTGGTATCCTGAATTGTGTTTTATATCTCCAGAAGTTCTGTTTGATTATTTTTCAGGGTATGTATCTCCTTATGGAGTTTCTCCTTCAAATCATGGCAAGATTTTTTCTCATCTTCTGGAATTGGTTGTCTGTGTTCTCTTGTATCTCATTCGATTTTGTTATGAATATTCTGATTTTTTTCTGACATTCTGTGAGTTCTTACTTTTTATCTATTATGGATGAGTAGTTATTATGTTCCTTTGGTGGGGGAATTTCTCTTTTATTCTGACTTATTCTGGGACTGTGAGAACCAGGATGATGGCCAGTGAAGGCAGGGGAAGTCGTACTTCTACACTCTAGGCTTGGCAGGGGGGCTTTAGTGATTAGCTGAGGCCGGGTGGCCACTGCTTTCCTTTTGCTCCTGGATGGGTGAGGGACCACTCTTTTTAAGAGCCAGAGTATTTTAAACAAAGTCCACACATCTTAATGCATTCTAAATACTTCATCCCTAAAGAGGATTTTTAATTATGAATGTTGACAGATGTGTATACCCCTGTAATTTATTTCCTCACTCAAGTTATAGAACATTTCTAGGAAGTTCCTTCATGGTCTTACAAATAAGCATTATTCCAGAGGTGAACAGTCAAAAGAGGTGAACCAAAATATTGGGGGGGGGGTGGAGAACAGGGCCTGCAACATATGAAAAGGACCAAGTGAAATTCATTCCAAAAATGCAAAATTGCTTTTTTTATTAAAAAATATATTTTAAAAATTTTGCTATAGGGTACAGCATTTGCTGGGGCAGGTGGGTAAAAAGGCACTCCCTAGGGGGATGGTCATAAAGCAGTTTCTTCTCCATTCTTCTCATTTTGGGCATACATGCATGCACACAACATGTTTTTCAAACTGCCAGGTCTGAGACAAAACCATGCAGTCACCCATGTAGGATCCAGCCACCTCAACCACCCTGCTGCTGACTGGCCCACAAAATTATTTTAATTTCCACTTGCTTTATTTTGTTTTAACCAGTGAAGGTGTGTTCTTATCTGAGAGAAAGAGAAAGCACTTCCCAGAGTGGCATGGTCATACTGTAATGCTTAATTCTCCATTTCTTCATCCCATCAGGTTTTGGGAACAGATAAATGCACATCCAACATGCTAGACAAGCCGCTAGGATTTGAACTACAGTTGTCCACACGGACTCTGGCTTTCCATGCACAGTGCTTAGCCACTGCACCACAGAAGCTAGCCTTACATTATTATTTTTTTTATTCACCACAAAAATCTCTTAATTGATACAGAAAAAATAATAGATAAAATTTTATATCTATTAACAATTAAAATGATCATCAAAGGGACCAGCAGTTGGTGTAATGGCTTTGTCGCTGGATTCCCATGTAGTCAACAGCGGTTCGAGTTCCAGACCCGGTGGATTTAATTCACGCGGGGCGCATGTGCGTGCGTGCCCAAGATCCCAAGAGGAGAATGGAGAAGGGATTGCAGCATGGCCATCCCCCCAAGGGGTGATTTCTTGTTTTCTAGCTTTCTGTCTGTGTCTTTCTGGCGAGTGCACACACCCTATAGCAAAAACCTCTAAAAAATTTTTTTTAAAATGATCAGCAAATGAGTAATAGAAAATATTTTCCTCAATATAGCAAAGAGTATGTGTGATAGTCACATGCAGTCTTTTTTATTCAGTAGTGGGGTGTTTTCTCACTAAGATCAAGAACAGAGATTATTGCAAGCCTTGTAATGCCAATTCTGCATTGCTCTATAACAGCTAGCCAATCTGCTAAGTAGAGACAAAAGAGTAAAATGCCTAGAAGGTTGAAGAAAAAGAAAAACTTTATACACAGAAGACGTGTATATCAAAAAATCTTATGCAGTCTATGATTAAATAACTAGGACTATTAAGTGAATTTAAAAACTTCATAAAATACAAGGTCCAATATTTGTTTAAAAAAATCTTGTATTTCTGTAACCTAATATCAAACAATAAGATGAAATAAATACATACACAATCATTAATAACATAAAACATTTAAACTTCCTCTTTTGAATGCATGAGGATTTATTTGTGGCTTTGGAGTAGGTAAAGATAGAAGAGATGGGACTTGAAAAGATGTTAATTATTTGTGCAAATATAAATAAACAGATAAGAAATAAATATCCTGAAAATGCCTCTCTACCTCCTGCATAGATTTGAAACTTCACTGCTGTTGGCCCAGCTCTTTCATTTACTCTGCAGTATTTCATCCTTATTACCATATGATACCTTTTTGCTTATTCCTTCAGATTTATTTATTCTTTCCCCTGTATTTTTATGCCCTTTCTTTTTTATGAAAAAAAAAATTTAAAGGTACAAAGCACAATTAATGAAATCTTTATAACCATCAATTCACAGTTATTTACTACATTTTCTCTCTTTTTAAAAATAATTTTAGAGAGAAAGTATAATGAGCCCCATATACACAATGCCCAGTTATATATACTATAGAGTATGGCTAAAGGAATTTTATCAGCATTTTAGGATGAGGGATGCTTTTGTGTAACACTTTAGATAATATTTTCACTCAAATAGTTGAGTAGGTTTTTAATCACAGTTAAGGGCTCATTTGTTAAAAACTCAAAATATTTTTATAACAGGACAAAATGACTCTCTAGTACTATCCAATATTCAAACAAAGTTTTAATTTTACCAGTGCTCTTCAAAACTCTCCATTTTATTTGTTGAAATTGCGATCAAATTGCATTAAGTTACTCTTGCAGGATTTTTATTCATGACTGTTCACCCTTTCAGTGCTATTAATTTGTCAAAGGCTTTGGTACATTAATATGCTAAATGACTGCTAGTGGTATATGAAGTATCTCTTGTATTCATTCACAGTTACTGTCACAGAACTCAAAAGATCATTAGGATTTCTTGAAGGATAGGAGGGTCTTATATTCATAATGACCCTTTTGATCACACCTGAATTTATGCTAATGAGCTGACTTAGGATTGGTCCTCTTGATGGCACAGGGTTAGGTCATCACTGGAGTGACCAAGTCATTAGAGTTAGAACCTCTTACTTATCGACCTCAGGGAAGGACAGGGTGGGTGGAGGAGAGGTGGATTTTAAGGTCTAGAAAAGCTCTCATATAAAATTTGATAAGCTTCCTGGTTTCTGAACACATAAAAATGTGGGGAGAGTGCATGCCCAGGTGGGGCATGGACTCTGTCTTCCTCCTCCTCATGTCATCTGACTATCTGTATCCTTTATAATAAACCATTAAATGTGAGTCAAGTATTCTCCGGAGTTCTGTGCACCATTGGACAAGCGTTGTAGGAACTCCTATATATGATCAGACACAGCATAGATCACAACCTGAGGCTTGCGATCAGTGTCAGAAGTGAGAGCAGTCTTGTGGGACTGAGCCCTTTACCTGTGGGATTTGAAACTGCTTTCGGGTATCATTGGAATTGAATCAGCTTCTAGGATGCCCAGGTGGTGTCTGCTGGAGAATTGCTTGGTGTGTTACAAGTGAGGGTTCAGAGCAGTGCGGTGGCAGACTGCTCCATTCCTGTCTTCAGGTCTGCCCCAAATCTTGTTCCCTTAACCTAGGGCATGTGATGGGTAGACACGACCCTGGTCATACTGGACACGTGGCCCTGTGGTGAAGTCTGTGTCCCTGCTGCTTTTGTGTATCAGTTTCCTCTCATGGTATCTTGCACAGCCTGATCTGCCAGCTGCCTAGACACCATCCTTAAATGTGACCTGAAGTGGTGGGTACACTGTGTGTTCAACTCACGTGGGTGTGCCAGAGCAGAATCTTGCTTCTCATGTGGGCTTCCCACCTTCACTGTACCACTTCTCCCTTGGACTTCAGCCTCAGGTGAGTTGGTGTCTTGCCAGCACCATAGCCTGTGGCCTTCCCCAGTCTGTTTGTCTCCATGGTCATCCCTGTTTTAAACACAGAAGGTGGAGGCTCGAGGAGGCAGAGTAGCTCTGTGAGACCTTTTGGCTAAGGATGCACAGTGCCCCTGCAGAACTGTCTGATTGCTATTGGTGTGGGGCCTATGCCACACACACAGGACAGTGCACCAAAGTGACTTCTCTTTCCTCCACAGATCTTTCCACCTGAGTCTCTCTTCTCCATGGAGAGCAAGATAACAGACGGGGGACCCCACAGAGCCAGAAGGGAGGTGAGACTGCCCAGAACTGCCATTCTTGCTGTCATAAGGTGGACTTGTTCTCATCACTGACCGTGGAGGCTGTAGTGTCAGTATAGGGCAAAAGCCAGCCTAGTCCTAGGGAAGTGGCCCCACTTCCTCCCTACAGTAACTGGCCTGTGAGTTCCTCCTGCAGCAAGCAGGGAACCGTCGACAAGGTGTGGGGACAAATCAAAGCAAATTTGGGTGTCCCTGCTCCAGCATCAAGTGAGGATGGTTGAGTTGGTGTCAGTGGGGGAAGAGGGCACTGAGAGAGGGCACAGTGTCTTCCAAGGGCAGGGGCCCTAACAGCCCCTGAGGGATCTGAACCTAGAGGTTGGGCAGGGGGCAGGAGTGTGGGCGTCTAAGGAACCACTAGGCAGACTGCTGACCTATAGGTGGGGTATTCCCCGCCACTGTTCTCATAGAAGGCATGGAGGACATCTGAGTTAGGCTCCAAGGTGCAAAGCTAGGCTTGAGTTATGTTAGACAATAACCCAGGAGACAGAATGGGTATGTCTGGGAGCACCTTCAGACTCCAGGTAAGGAGTGGGGGAAAACTGAATGTAATCACTGAGACTCGGTGATCTACAGAGGGTAGCCAGGCTTTGGGCCCAGTGGCCAGCAGAGCAGTGCCTGCTCCTGGACTGGGCTGGGCTCAGCTTCCTTGAAGTTCTTGGTCACTGCGGCTCCCCAACTCACTAAGTTGGCCAAGTGCTGGCCCGGGGCTGCCATAGCCCGTCAGTGTGTTCTGGTAAAAGCGCAGAATCACATGAGCCCCTGGACATGTTGGGTTCGAGACGTGGGAGGTGGATAAGCTGTCTGCATCACATATCTGGTCAGCTGTGTCTGCAAAGCAGCCTTGCCCTGTGCAGAGCCTGCCCTGTCAGTGGCCGCTGGCCCCCTATGCACCAGCATCCCTGCAGGTTAGAGACAAGCACTGCCATCTGCTAGAACTCTGCCCTTCCTGCAGCCCCCTCACAGCATGGCCACGACTGCAGAGGTAGCTCCCACCTGTCTCCCACACTTCTTGTCATCTGCCTGTTCTTGTCTGTGCCGCTGCCTCTGAACCTTGTGGGAACAGAGGTCTGGGTGCCACTCATTAGCCACCAGGGTTTTGAAGATCTTTACAGTGGGTGTGACAAACTGATCAATGCCTGGGGGAGAAATAGGGATTGGCTCTTTGGGGCCAAGGGACAGGCTTCTGACCACAGCTCCAGTGTCCGATGACTTGTGAATAGCATCGACACATTGAACCCTGCAGAGATACCAGACTGGGCTCGTTGCTGGCTGCCGAGAAGATGTCTTGCCCTTCCCGAGGATGCACCGGGCTAATTCAGATGCACCCTGACTGCCCTGTGACATGGCCACGGTGGACATTTTGGCAGAAACACAGATCTGGGCTTGTTCTCAATTCTAGCTCCATGTTATGGACATTCACGTGTCCCAAGGGAGGTTAGAAATGGGCAGTTCTTATTTTGTCAGGACATCTGTGAGAACTTTTTTTAAAATTAATTATTTAATTTTATTTATTCATTCATTTTATTTTCATTGAACTAGAGAGAGACACAGAGAGAGAGGAAGAGGGAAAGTGAGAAAGCAAGCCACCAGGTCCAGGAACTGAACTGTGGTTTGCCATGTGGGAGTGTCCAGCGTCTTAACCACCACGCCACCTGCTGGCCCCCCATCTGTGAGAACTTCTAAGTGTGTTCCTCACTTGCAGATTCATGGACTGTCTAATTCAGAACATGGCACAGGGTACCATTCAACTGTCTTAGTGGTTTTTAATTTACTGTACGTGTGTTTTCAGGAATCGTATTGAGTTGTTGGAAAGTCATGACTCATTTTCGCCTAGAAAAAATATGTCTTGACAGCACTTACAGCAGCTGGACTGAGCAGAGCTAGAGGTGGAACCAGGAGCATAGGGACAGGAGTTTGAACTTACCGCCCTGCTGCGGCGGCCCCTGAGAGCGGGCTGGGTTTTTGTTGCAGGCTCTGGTGGCACTCAGGGATGTGACCGTGGATTTCACCCAGGAGGAGTGGGGACTGCTGAGCCCTGCGCAGAGGAGCCTGTACAGGGAGGTGACACAGGAGATCTACAGCCTCCTGGTCTCCCTAGGTAAGCCCACATCTCGGCAGGCCTGGTGTTTTGCGTGCTCTTGTCCCACTTTGCCTTAGGCTGAGGCTCAGACACGACCTCATCTGCTCTATTCTAGGAAAGGGCCAACTGTGGCAGTTTGGTCCTGGCTCACACTGCAGGTGTGCAGGCCTCTTTCTCCACACTGGCCCTCCTGAGGGCTGGACCTCTGAGCAGGGAGGTCCTTTTGCCTTTCTGGCCCAAGACCTCACCGCAGTCTGTCTACATCAACTGGTCCCTAGAGTGACTGCCAAGAGTCACCTCATTTTATTCTCTGTAAGCAGGAATCTTTCATTTAAAATCCGAACTCATCTTTGGCTAGTGAGGGGAAGAGCCCTGGGGAGGAGAAAGAAGATATGTATCAGGCCTCTGTGCAGGTAAAGGGGAAGGGCCAGGTGACAGACCTCAGGGCCCTGGGCAGCTCAGGAGAGGGGGGCCCCTCTGCGGCCTGGGAAGCAGCTCTGACCTTGGCTGCTCTACAGATTGCCTGGATCTGCTCCCCTCCAGAATTGCCTTTGCCCAAGGGAGGGGCTGTCCTGGGCCACCCAGCTCCTCTTCCCGAGAAGCCACTCGGTCTCCCCATTGGTGGCTGTGAGTGACTACCCAGTGCTAGTCTAAGTCCTCTGCAATTACCATACAATTTTTCCTATTTTTAAACTAGTAAGCCCTTTGTCCATTTTATCACCTTCAAGTTCTATAGTTTTTTGTTTTTATTTGATATATTCTGCAGTACTTAGGAAATACAGGACAGCATGGAGAAATGCAGAATGTGCCCAGTCTCCATTCTAAGTCCTAAAATCCTTCCAATGCAGATGAAGCTCCTAATTCCCCTTCCTAGACTGTATCCCTCTCTGTTTCCTCAAAGATAATCATCACTTCTAAACAGTCAATCACTATTTCTCATTTTGCTTGTAAAAAGACTTTACCCAACATGAAATACTTCTCAGACCAATCCAGTTGAGAATACTGTACACGTTGATCTCCGGTGCAGCTTTCTCCTGCTATTTTGTACGTCTATCCGGAAGCCATATATGGTTCTGATGTTCACATTTCTTCTTTCAAAAGAAATGGCTTCATTCAGGGGCCAACAGGTTGCATAGTGGTAAAAGTGCTGGACTCCCACATAGGTGACCACAGTTTGCGTCCCAGGCTTGGCAGCTTGAAACTCAAGCCAGGTGCATGTGCGTGCGTGTGTGCCCAAAATCCCAAGGAGAGAATGGAGTTCGAGAAGGGATTACGGCATGGCCATCCCCCCCTGGAGGGTGTTTTCTGACTTTCTGTCTCTCTGTCTCTCTCTTTCTGGCAAGCACACGTGCCCCATAGCAAAAATCTCTCTCAATAAAAAGTGGGGAGGGGCCTGACTTGATTACTCATCACTTGCTCTATGTTCCGCTGACTCCAGCTGCATTCTTAAAAATGGGCAAGTAGAAAATGATATCTGACTCCTCCATCTCTATCTTCTTGCAGGGAGCACCTTAAAGTAGATACAGTCTTTGTGCTATTACTGCAGGGCATGTGAAAGCTCTAAACAAAGACATAATCTACTGCTGGGCTTTACAGAGAGAATGAAATCTAGAGTTAGCCAGAGAAGGCAAGAAGAGGCTTGTTTTAGAACTGTGAGATGCTCCACAGCTGAAGCATGGGGCTTTGCCTTCCCTATAAAAGAATGACCGACCACATAGCCATCACCCTAACTACTGGTCTCAGAGTACTTAGCATTTTGATCACCTTAAACATTATCATTTATTTGTTCTAAGGGGAGAAGTAGCTTCATGCTACAGTATGCTTGTGCAGTTTTCTCACTGAAAATGTTTCAGGTACCCATTGTCAATATGCGTGATTTCAGTTTATTCATTTTGGGGCTTTACATTGTTTTATTGTCTAGATAAAGCCCTGGAGAGGGACCTTAGTTACTGAAGTAGGCTGTTTACTGCAACTGCTTCAGTCCTCGAGTCCATGTCCTGGGTATCTGCACAAGTGTTGCTTACGTACCCCCTTGGGAAAGGAGCAGCTGATCACAGCTGTCCACAGCTGCTGCTTCTCTGAGCAAGGCCAGCTGGTTCTCCAGTGAGGTTGAACCCATTTAAGTTCTTTAGTGTCCTCACTGCCATTTAAAAAGTCTGACTTTGAAACTAGCAGGTGGCATAATGGTTACGTCACTGGACTCCCAAGTAGTCAACCACAGTTCAAGTCCTGGACCTGGTGGCTTAAGACTCACACCAGGCACGTGCACATGTGTCCCCAAAATCCCAAGAGGAGAATGGAGGAGAAGGAATTGCAGCATGGCCTTCTTCTTCTCTTCATGACTTCTCTTCTCTCTGTGTCTCTCTCTCTGACAAGTGCACACACCCTATAGCAAAAAAAAAAAAAAAAGAGTCAGACTTTGATTATTACCCATCTAATGGTTATAAAATTGCTTATCATAGAAATTTCAGTTTAATCACCAGTCTCTTCTGTATCCCATTGGGATTTGGGCATGCGCACACACACACCACACATTTTTTTGGGGGAAGGCAGATTCTTGCTATAGGGCACATATACTCACTGGAGAGACAGAGGGGCAGAAAATGAGAAATCATCCCTCAGGGGGGATGGCCACACCACATCCTCTATTTTCCTCTTGGGATTTCTGGCATGCACACACGCACATATGCCACTGGGTCTGGTGGTTGACCAGCATCATAACCACTATGCCACCTACTGGCCCTACCTATTTTTTTTTTAAGAATGATTTATTTGGGGGCCAGCTGGTGGCATAGTGGTTAAGGTGCTAGACTCCCACGTAGTTGACTGAGGTTCGAGTTCCAGACCTGGTGACTTGAAACAGCTAGGCATGTGTGTGTTTGCTCAGAATCCTGAGGAGAGAATGGAGAAGGGATTGTGGTATGGCCATCCCTCAGGAAGGCTCTGGACAACCACATGGCTGACTGTTGTTTGGGTCTCAGACGCAATGGCTTAAAAATCGCACCAGGTACTTATATGTGTGTGGCCATCCCCCCTGAGGACGATTTCTTTTTTTTTTTTTCTTTTTCTTTTTTTCTTTAAGAGAAGTTTTTGCTATAGGGCTTGTGTACTTGCCAGAGAGACAAAGAGAGACAGAGAGACAGAAAGCAAGGAATCAACTGCTGCCATGCCCTGCTCCTGGGGAGTCCTGTGAGTTCTAGACCTACACCTCCTCTCCCTCTCACTGCTGGCTTACTCATTCCATATGTAAAACCTAGTAATACTTAAATTGTAATCTGTTTTATCTATATTTGGTTCACTTTTGGTAACTTTGATTTTATTTTTCTTCATAACATGTACATTTTCACATCTCATATGCTTTCTTAACTCCAACATTTTTGTTTGTGAAACATATGTTGAACAGTTTAATTTTAGAGCTTACTAAATGTTTGGAAAATTCATACATTGAATCCCTGTGAACTGCCCACCTACTTTCCAGAAACACTTCGCTTTGGACCTGTGTCATGTCACATACTCGCCCACCTATGCTTTCTCTGTCCACCCCTCCGCACTTTTGAAAGTAGGCTACAGGCATGGTTACTTTCTACTTACAAATCCCCTGCAAAGAAGCAAGCATATCAGTCATTTGTATTCAGCTATTTCTTTATGGATTTTTGGGGGGGTCAGGAGAATTTAAATACTGCCAGTGCACAAAGCATAAGCGTGACATTCAGTGAGCTCTTATATAAGCATATACATACGTGACCTGAGCCCAGACCACATTATAGAACAGTCACTGTCATCCCAGAAAGTTTTTCGTGCCACTGTCTTAATTATTTTCTGCCCCTTATATCCACCAGAGACAACCTTGGTTTTGGTTTTGTTCAGTACACATTCACTTTACCTGTTTTAGAACTTCATAAAAATGGATTCCCAGAGTATATTCTGGGTATAAAGATTAGCAAATTGATTTTGACTTTGTCCCATTCTCTGTAAAGAAGCAAGTTCCTTCAGACTGTGGATTCTTTCTCATCCTATGCTTTCCACCTATCCACACACACTGACTCCTCCCCCAAAACAGTGCCCACCAAGAGCTTTGGAACTGGGTTTTACCACGCTTTCACCTGCCTGAGCTCTGATTTTGGGTGTATGGCCAGTGCCCCACACATGATGTCCAGGAGTAAGGAAGACTTCTCTCTTGTTCAGTTCTGGCTGCTATGGCGGAATGCCATAGCCTGGCTGGCTTAAACACTGTTTATTTCTCCTACTTCTTGAGGCTGGAAGTCCAAGATCGAGATGCCGGCCCATGTGGTGCGTCTGTTAGTGGCTTGCAAATGGCTGACTCACACAGCCAAAACAGAACAAGCTCTGGTCTCTTTTCCTCTGCCTGAGAGAGAGCATATGTGCATGCATGAGAGAGATAGAGAAGCACCCTCCACAAGGCCTTCTGCCACGTTCCACTTTCTACAGTCTTTCAGCTCATCAGCACCATGAGCATGTGTTCAAGTGTCCAGCGTGTTCTCTGGCCAACCCAGGGTCCCAACACATACATGGCCGTGTGGCAACCAGCACTGCAGTTCAGTTGCTACTGACCACACCACGAGGTTGGACACATAGCCACCCCATCATGGAGGCTACCCTCATGATCTCATCTAATCTTCTGTATTTCCCACAGCTCTACAGAAAGACAGAAAGAGAGAAATCCCCCCCCAGAAGGGACGGCCACACTGCGATCCATTATCCTCCATTCTCCTCTCAGGATTTTGAGCATGCACACACATGTGCCTGGCATGCGTTTTAAGCCACCCGGTCAGGGACTTGAAACATGTTTGACTGTGGGAGTCCAAGGCACTGGCCATTATGTCATCTGCCAGCCCCCACCATGTGTTTTTAAGTCACTGGGGCTGGGACTCGAACTACATGGTTGATCAAGTGAGATCTGGCTCTCTTAACCATTAGGCCACTGGATTGGCACTAGATTTTGCTTTCTTAACATGAATATTTGTTTTTATGTAAAGTAGCAGTATTTTTCCTTGTTATTTTTCACCCCTAATAAATGTCTCCTCTCCTGTGATAATTATCATAAGTTTTTAAATTGTGTATTTCTTTTTGTTGCTATTTATAATATGATTTTTTGTGGCCAGCAGGTGGTGTGGTAGTTAAGGCACTGGACTCCTACATGATCGATCATAGTTCAAGTTTCAGACCTGGTGGCTTGCTTTCTCATTTTCTCTTTCTCTCTCTCGTCAGATTAAAACATAATAATAACAAATAAAATTAAATTAGTAATTCTTTTTAAAATAAAGTTATTATTTATGTACACAGTTTGCTGTATATTAGCATGAAATGGCGAACAGCTTATAGAACCAAAACTAAGTCTACTCAAATATTTTCCAACTTTTTCATGAAGGGAAATTATCTTCAGCTTTTTTTTTTCTTTTATTTTAAGCTGATGAGTCTTTCTTTTTTAAGAAATTTAACTTCACTTTATTGACCAGAAAGGGACAGAGTGAGAGTGAGTGAAAGAGAGAGAGAGAGAGAGGAAGTGAGAAAGTAAGCCACCAGGTCCAGGACTCAAACCGTAGTCGGCCATGTTGGAGTCCAGCATTCTTAACCACCACACCACCTGCCAGCCCTCTTTTTTTTTAAATTTACTTTTTTGCTTTTTAATTTGCTATAGAGTGCATACACTTGCTAGAAAGAGAGGGAGGGAGAAGAAAGTGAGAAAGCATCCCTGGGAGGGATGGCTACATCGCAATGCCTTCTCTTCTCCACCATTCTCCTCTCAGGATTTGGGTATACATGCATATACGTGCCCGGTGTGTTTTTTTTTCCCCAGCTGCCAGGTCTGATACTCAAACCACATGGTCAGCCATGTGGGATCCAGCCACTTTAGTAACCACCACTGGCCTTTTAATTTACTTTTTTTTGGAGAGGTTTTTGCAATAGGGCACATGTGCTCGCCAGACAGACAGAGAGAGACAGAGATAGAAAGCGAGAAATCACCCCCCAGGGGGGATGGCCATACTGCAGTCTCTTCTCCTCCATTCTCCTCTCGGGATCTTGGGCACGCACGCACACGTGCCTGGCGTGAGTTCTAAGCCACCGGGTCCGGGACTCAAACCGCAGTTGACTATGTGGGAGTCCAGCGACATAGCCATTACCCTAACTGCTGGTCCCTTAATTTACTTTTTAAAGTTCACATGACACGCATGTACTTTATTCATACAATATTCCCATTTTTTAATGAGGCGTGTCATAGAACTTTCTATTCTAGACCAAATTGTGTTCTAGGATGTGGGAATGCAGCAACTTGATAATGGGGCCATCAAGTCGTCACCCTTCCAGAGCTGCATGTGCACGTGCTCACAGACACACACTCCCACGTACGTGATGTCAGAGTGATCTTGAGGAAGACAGTTCAGGGAAGCTCACTGGTGGGGCATGAGGTGTGGGTGGGGTAAGGTTCTTACACAGGGCACTGAGGGTCTCTGAGGAGGTGACATTTGAGCAGAGCCGAGAAAAACAAAACACAAACCAAGCAAATGTTTATGGGCAGAAGGGACTGCAAGTGCACAGAGCCCACCTCAGAAGTCTGTGTGTTGTGGAAGCAGAAACAAGTGAGGCCAGCGCAGGCTTGGAGGAGTGCCAGGTGGTGGGAGGGCAAGTCGGAGTGGTGGAGGGAGGTGCAGGCTTAGCATCCTTGCTGAGGGTCTCCTTGAGCCAGCCATGATGAGAGCCATTGGAGCTGCCATGCTGGAGAGTGATAGGACCTAGTTCACGTGTCAGGTGATGCTCCAGCTACAGGTTGAACACAGGCTGATGGAGATCCTTCCACAGTGTGTGTTCTGTTTCCCTATATAAAATGTAATATGTAAAATTGGAGTTGAGAAGTCGGACCTGGGAGGGCAGTGTTTGTGGTAACAGCATCCTTGCTGTGCTGCAGGCAGAAGCACCCAACTCTGACTCTTCGCAATGAACCTTTTTTTTTTTTTTTTTTCTGCAGGATTCAAACCAGGAGTCCCTCTGTGTCCCTGCTGTCCACAGGCCTCCTCTAGCTGGAGCCTCAGCGAACACCTGCCATATGGCTTTCCTACCCAGCTGTCCCCAGGCTCATCTGCAGAGGGTGACCTGCAGCCCAGGGAGCCTGATCTGGTGGGATGGAAGCAACAACAGCAGCAGTTTTCTGTTCAGAGAGGCCAGAGCACTGCAGCAGATCGAGAAAAGGAAAACAGCTCTAAACCCATGGTTGGGAGGGAGCTACCGGCTCCAAGTGCATCTCCCAGCCCAGCCCTGAGAGAAGCAGCAGGCCCAAGGGGAAGGAGCAGAGTGGAGGAAATGGAGCCCAGCCATGGCTGTGGGGAAAATCCTACGGACAAGGACAAAGTACTGAAAGGAATAGAAAATTCAAGGTGGGCAGCCTTTAGGTGTGCAGGGGATAGGCCGGACATTAACCAGAAGATAAAGGTATTCCTTCAGGGAAATGCAGAGCCCAGGCAGAATCTGTTTATATGTGGGGAGTGTGGACAGAGTTTTAGTGAAGAGTCAGCATTACTCTCACACCAGAAAACACACTCAGAGGAGAAGCCCCACGTGTGCAGGGAGTGTGGGCAAGGCTTTACCACTAGCACGTACCTCACCGCACATGAGGGAACACACAGAGGAGAGGGGCTATACGGGTGCCAGGAGTGTGGACAGAGGTTTGGGGACAAGTCATCCTACGGTAGGCACTTGAAGGCACACTTAAGTGAGGAGCATTTTTTTTGTAGGGAGTGTGGGCGAGGCTTCACCAGGAAGATAATGCTCACCAGACACCAGAGGACACACGCAGGGGAGAAACCTTATGTGTGCAGTGAGTGTGGGAAGGCCTATTTCTGTAAGTCAAGCCTCATCTGTCACCAGAGGACACACTCGGGGGAGAAGCCGTTTTTGTGTGGTGAGTGTGGGAAGGCCTATTCCTGTAAGTCAGGCCTCATCTTTCACCAGAAGACACACTCAGGAGAGAAGCCTTTTGTGTGCAGTGAGTGTGGGAAGGCCTATTCCTATAAGTCAGGCCTCATCTTTCACCAGAGAACACACTCGGGGGAGAAGCCATTTTTGTGCAAGGAGTGTGGGCGAGCCTTTGCCAGTAAGTCAAACCTCATCTTCCACCAGCGAACACACTCAGGGGAGAAGCCATTTGTGTGTAAGGAGTGTGGGCGGGGCTTTACCCACAAGTCAACCCTTGTCTATCACCAGAGGACACACTCAGGGGAGAAGCCTTTTGGGTGCCAAGAGTGTGGGCGTTCCTTTGCCAGAAAGTCATACCTCACTGTGCACAAGAGAACACACACGGGAGAAAGGCCATATGGGTGTCGGGAGTGTGGGCGGGGCTTTACCACTAATGCATACCTCACTCTGCACGAGAGGACACACACGGGGGAGAGGCCGTACGGGTGCCAGGAGTGTGGGCGGAGATTTAGGGACAAATCATCTTGCAATCGGCACTTGAAGGTACACTTAGGTAAGAAGCATTTTCTCTGCAGGAGTGTGGGTGAGGCCTTCGCTTGAAATGTTACCTCACCAAACACCAGAAAACGTACTCAGAGGAGTAACTGCTTCATTATAAAGGGCTGTGCACCTTGCTTAGGTGTATCGGGAAGACAGAGGGAATTCAGAAGGCAACAGAACTCAAACTCAGCCCCAGATTTCCCCAGAGAGTCTAAGAGGCCAGGGTTAAGATTCCAGGTGAAGGGAAGTAAGTCCCAGCTTGAGAAAATGTCTCCTTTTTCACACTGCACATCTTCCTGTTGTGTTTGGGCCAAGCTGCACTCCCCAAGGACTGCTCAGCCAGGCAGGGCTGCAGAGCAGGGCTCCCAGGCAGGCCACTCCTGGTTCCTCGCCACCCTCGTTTGGGTGCACAGCAGTCAAGGGTGCCTTGATCAACCTTCCTCCCTCCACTTACCCCTGCAGCTCCCACAGCCTTACCTCAGTGCTGTGGTTTGAGTGTTCTCATTCCTTTCTATGGTCACGTTGAAACCTCTAATCACCAGTGTAACACAGCAAGAGCTGGGCCTTTACGAGGCGACTGAGTCATGAAGATGGAGCCCTTGTTACATGGGGCTAGGGGCTCTTATGAAAGGGCTTGAGGGCCAGCAGATGACACTGTGGATAAAGTGCTGAGTCCCATATCTTGACTGCTTGGTTCAGGTTTGGGTCTCAGACTTGGTGACTTGAGAAACATGCCACACTCATGTGCATGAGAGCCCCAAATTCCCAAGATGAGAATGGAGAAGTCACCCCCAAGGGGTGACTTCTCATTTCCCTCTCTGGCAAGCACATGTGTACCAGAGGGTGCACAAGAGGATGCACATGGGAGAGAGGCCATATTATTTAGCAAAAAACTATGTAATAATAAAAGGGCTCGATGGAGGGAGTTGGTCCCTTTGGCCTTTCCATTTTTACCACCCGAGAAGGCAGCATCATGGCCTCATCTTGAGAGTGAAGAACAGCCCTCATTAGACAGCCCAGCCTGCTGGGACTTTGGCTTGAATTTCTCAGCCTCCAGAACTGTGGAAAATAAATTTTTGTTTTTCTGTAAATTAGCTGGTCTATGATACTTTGTTTTAGCAGCATAAATGGACTAAGTTACTTGACTTCCTCATCACTTTCTCACCTGTAGTCATGTCTCCAAATAAATCCTTGCATGTACAAACCCATCTTGGTGTCTCCTTCACAGAGAATCCTTATCATACAAGTGGTACCAAGAGTAGTCTTTAGAGCGCCCTAGCTCAGCAATTAAGATGCCAGATCCCACATGGCTGACCACGGTTCGAATCTCAGCCCTGGTGGCTTGATAAGCAAAGTGTGTTGGGCATTGGGCGCGTGTGCCTGACATCTTGATGGGAAGGAGGAATGGCAGGAAAAGGATCGCAATGTAACCATGTCCTGTTGGAGAGTGTTTTCTCTGGTGTTTGTGCTCTCTGGCAATGGAAAGAAAAAAGGAAAAAAATGGGTTTGGGGATTGGCTTACTCATGCCTGCAGAAGAGCAGGTTGGTAGGTGAGGCACAGGCAGGAGCTTAGATGCTGAAGATCTCACAAATGGTTTCTGAGAAGATGCTCAGTTGACAGGAATGTGGCAGGGGGTGCGAGGCAGGCATTCGGAGATGTGTGGGGACAGTGCTTACACAGCAGAGGAGCCTGGCTACTGCTGGCCTGCACCAACTGCAGAAGGAGTTCCTTACCATTAGCAGTTAGTGGCTAAGCCAGGAAAGCCTGGTAGCAGGACCTTCTCTCGGGTAGACGACCAAGCATGTTGCCCAAACACATGTGCGCAGCCTAGGAGAGTTGTAGAGCTCCAGCCGAGGCATGACCTTTGCTCGAGGTTCAGAGCCCTTATTGTTAAGGTCTGGGGCCCAGAAAACTAGCAGGAATATCTGGATGGATGTTGGAGTTAACTATCCCAAACTTGCCTGGTGTCGGAGACTCGCCTTGGCTGAAGCACGGCCATTGCACTGGAAACTACAGTAAGCGCCTCCCGAGCAAGACCAGCCAGCCTGAGCAGTGGATGAGCTTCGTACCTGGAAGGACCCTGTGCTCGTAATGTTCTGCTGTCTTCATCTTCACATCTCAATGCTGTCTCTGAACTTGGGTTCCAAGTGAGGTCCATTGGGGCAATGAGGCACACATGTGAGTGGAGGTGCACACAACACGCTGCTCCATTCATGGTGTTTTCTTTCTTTTTTTTTGGGGGGGGGAGAGGTTTTTGCTGTAGGGCACGTGTGCTCGCCGGACAGACAGAGACAGAGAGACAGAAAGCAAGAAATCACCCCCCGGGGGGATGGCCACGCCGCAATCCCTTCTCCTCCATTCTCCTTGGGATCTTGGGCACGCACGCACACGCGCCCGGCGTGAGTTTTAAGCCACCGGGTCCGGGACACGAATCGTGGTCAACTACGTGGGAGTCCAGCGACATAGTCATTATGCTAACTGCTGGTCCCCATTCACGGTGTTTTTGGTGCCTGCTGTGCAGTGTCCACAACCTTCAGGCACTCACTATTAACGTCCACATCTGAGTTGGATTGGTGAGACCGACAGCCTGACAGAACCTGCTTTCTCTGAGAATGAGAATGTGCTTTGCACTCAGAAGGAAGGTGACTCCCTAAGAAGCAGAAGCAGCTGAGCAACCTCGCGAGTGTCTTTCCCACTCCTGTTACTTCCCTGTTAACCAACCCCTGATAATGAGAAGGATGACATGGAAGGAGAGGGATAACAGCCAACTGTGGTTACTTTATTTTTTAGTCCTTACAGTAACCCTAAGAACATACTGGTAGAATTTGTATTAAGTGAAATAAGAGTTAATCCTTGCATTTTACTGTTAGTTTTATTCACACACACATACAAACAACAAAGTAGGAATTGTGTTTTCATTGTGCATGAATTAAATGCACTTATATTTGCATTTATAGCTGGTAGTGTACAATATACAGATGAACAGGTAATAGTTAACTATTATGCAGGGATAATTAAAATTAATTTTTAAAATTTTTAATAGACATTAAATTACAAAGACCACCATGACAAGTCAAGAGAAAGAGAAATGTTTTTCTTTGCTTGTTGAAGGGCTCCCCATTTTCATTTTGCACTGGTGCTGCAAATTATGTAACTGACTGTTCTCAAGGGAAAAGGGCCTCCCACTCCAGAGCAGGCCGACCTCCTCTCCTAGCCAGCAACTACGGTTACATCTCAGCATCACCCCCTTGTGGAAGTGCTGGGCCTGATAAGGGAGAAAAAAGATGTGTAAGAATGAGTCAGCATATACAACCAAAAGAGTACTCTGGAGATCGGACTTGGAGGGCGTTTGATCAAGAAGGCCAGGACACAGATGGATATGTAAGCATTTCTCGACATGGAGGCACTGTCAGCACATTAAACACTGGCACGTGTCTCCCGGCTAAGTCAAACTCTGCTACGTAAGTGGACCTGGGAAGCCTGGAAAAAATAATGGCAAACTTTGGTGAAATAAAAATGCCCAAGTAGTGTGATAGTTGGTACTCATATGAAAGCATTCTTCCTACTTTTTTTTTTTTTTTTAGAGATTTTCACTGTAAGGCGCGTGCGCTTGCCAGACAGAGAGAGACATAGAGACAGAAAGCGAGAAATCACCCCCCAGGGGGGATGGCCACGCCGCAATCCCTTCTCCTCCATTCTCCTCTCGGGATCTTGGGCACGCACGCACACGCGCCCGGCGTGAGTTTTAAGCCACCGGGTCCGGGACACGAACCGCGGTCGACTACGTGGGAGTCCAGCGACATAGCCATTACACTAACTGCTGGTTCCCGTACTTTTTTTTTTTTGAGAGAGATTTTTGTTATATGGCGTGTGTGCTTGCCGGACACAGAGAGAAACAGCGAGACATGAAGCATGAAATCACCCTCGGAGGGGGATGGCCACGCCACAATCCCTTCTCTATTCTCCTCTCAGGATCTCAGGTACACATACACATATGTCTGGCGTGAGTTTTAAGCCACTGAGGTCTGGGACTCGAACCGCCGTCGATTACATGGCAGTCCAGCAACATAACCATTATGCCATCTGCTGGTCCCTAAAGCATTATTCTTAAGGCCAACTAAAATGGAATCCAGATGCCATAGAACAAAAACAGTCAGGTAGCAAATAACTACTTCAAGACTGCCTGCTGAGCCACTTCTACCTGACAACTACTATAACGTTAAGACTAGCTTTACCCACGAACTGCCTGCTGTGATATTAAAACACTGCAGTCAGAACTGGCCAGTTGCTGAAAGTGACAGTGAGGCTTTCAAAACAGTTTATGCAGTTAGTTTTTCCTTCCCTGATGAAAACCCTAGTTTGCCTTTGTTCTTTAGACATAGCAGGGGCCACTGACCTTTGTGAATGTCCTAGACTACAATCCTCATTTTTATTCCTAAATAAACCTTTTGCATATGATTTTCTTGTTACCTATAATTTGACTTTGGCAGTACCTGATATAAGAAATGAATCTGGGGACCAGCAGTTAGTGTAATGGCTATGTCGCTGAACTCCCATGTAGCCGACTGTGGTTCGAGTACCAGACCCAGTGGCTTAAACTCACACCAGGCGCGTATGTGTGCGTGCCTCAAGATCCCGAGAGGAGAATAGAGAAAAAGGGATTGCGACATAGCCATTCCCCCCAGGGGGTGATTTCTCGCTTGCTATCTCTCTGTCTCTCTGTGTCTTTCTGGCAAGCGCACGTGCCCTATAGCAAAAAACCTCTCCAAAAAAAAAAAAAAGCGAATTTTTTACAATTAATGAACCCAGTTTGAATCATTACCACCCAAACTTCATCATTTACATTAGGATTATCTCTTGGCGCTGTGCGTTCTGTTCTGTAGGTCTGGACTAATGGCATGCATCTACCATCATAATGTCATGCAGAGTATTTTCATAGTACCTTTATAATGCATAGTAAGCTTTTGTTACCTCTTCAAGTAGAGCATTCTTTTGCTGGTTTCTTTCTGGAATAGAGGCTTATGCTTTTCTTTCCAACACTAACCTATAACTTACAAGCCCTTGCTTCTAGATGCCCCATCTTTTTGAGCCCGGCCAGTGTAAAAGAGTCCTTGTGCTGATTGACAGCTCTCACTCTCAAAATCGAGTGAAAGGCACCACTGTATCTGAGCACCCGAGAAACACTTTTGTCTTTCTCTGGATTGGTCACTCAATCTCGTGCTTAGAATAAACTACATTGATTATTATTTCTGCTGAACTTTGTTATTTCTGTTGACAACACTAAGAAGTCTTCTGATGGTACAGCTCTCGGACTCACACCCACTTATTAGGTTGTTGGGAAAATCAGGACGTATTTTTCTGTTTTTCTATGCAAAAATACATAGAAATGACCAGTAGAGAATGACCAGTAGATTTAATCTTAAGATTATAAAAATAATTTAACATCCCCAATTTCTTACCACCACTTCATCAGAACTCGAGTAATACGAGTGAATTACAACTGAGAGAGCTGGGAGATAGAAGCTACTTAAGGAGTTCCTAAAGAAGAGTGAGCAGACGGGAGACAGAAACCAGGACAGTGGCGCATACTGAGCCTCTGACACCTGTGACCTCAACAAATACTCGACAGAGCCTCACTTCAAGTCAAAAAAATATAAAAATCTCTATTAATTTCTGTTCTTTTTACTAGATACAGTATGTCTGGCATTCAACAAAAACTACAAAGTGGACTTCTCTTCAGAAATCATGCAAGAGATAAGAAAATTTCCTTCAAAAGCAAAGTAGAATAAATGGTTTTTCAAAGTCACGAAACCTGAGGGAATTTGTTTTCAATAGACATAGCTTGCATACATCAAAAGTAGGTCTCCAGAGAGAAAGAAAATTATATGGGTCAGAAACCTTAATCTCCATAAATACAGGAACGCTAGAAGGGAAATAATATAAATATTAGATAGTATCTTTCTACTATTCTTCATTGATCTAATAGATCAATAGTTCAAAATGATAGTAACAATATACCCACAGCTCACAAATAAGTGAAATGAGTAACAGTGCTCTTATAGGATGGAGGAGTGAGGAGCTGGGAATATTTTGTTATAAGGTTCTTACATTACTCATGAAGCAATATACTGCTGTTTTAAAGAGGACTTAGATTAGTTGAAAACATGGATTGTAAAACTTAGAGTGATCAGTAAAATAAAATTATAG